TATAGCAGTTCAATAAATCGAGGTACTTTTTTTCTCCTCTTATAGGGTTTCCTGACAGCTATGAGACAAGAAATTACTCGTGCACACAAAGGATGGGCGCTCGACAACGTTGCTCTAGCCAACGACGTCACTAAGATGATGAAGGAGGATGTTTCGTCAGCCCCTGCCGAAGGAGTTTACGTGCATGGCTTGTTTCTGGATGGCGCTGGCTGGGATCGTAGGAATTGCAGGCTCATGGAACCCGCGCCTAAGGTTCTGTTTACCGCTCTTCCTGTGGTTCACGTTTACGCGGTTAACACGGCTGCTATGGCGAAAGACTCGAAAGATAACAAAGATGCGCTGAAGTTTTATGAGTGTCCTGTGTATAAGAAACCAAGGCGCACAGACTTGACCTACATCTTCTGCTTAAATCTCAAGACCTCGCAACATCCCGATCACTGGATTTTGCGTGGTGTGGCGCTTTTATGCGACACAAAGTAGCGATCTTTTTGAAGTGTGACATTTTTGTTTGTTTTTCTATTATCTGTAAAACTTTCGTGTACATTTTTTACTAATAAGGAATCTGTCTCAGTGTGCCACTGAATTTCGTTTTTATGGGAGCTTGTTTCCAAACAAAATCTTGTTCCTTTGAGCGTCTTTTGTATATCGTGGTCTAAAAAATGGAATGATGCCCTTCTTACCTTCATTTCTTTTTCCGGGACTGAAAAGCATTTTTGTCCTCTCCCAAAACAAACAGTAGCTGATCGCAGGTTAGTGGTGCGATGCAAGGACAAACCAAATAGAAAATGCATTTATTTTTGGGTACTAAGTTGTTCTATAAAGTTTTGCGAGTTATATTTTTATTAAAAACCTGGAAATTTAATTTCTTAACGTAACGTATTTGTAAAATTTATTTTTGTGTAACAACGAACTAGCGGCCAGTCCTTGCGGGATTTCACTTATTTTATTTTTTTACTTACTTGAGGATTTACTTGCCTTGCATTTGAAAGTGGTAAAGAAAATACTTAAAGCGTGTTTGATACGTTACAACATATCCAGTTAGCATTAGATGCTTAAATTGCAAACCAAAGAGAGTGAATGAATTTATTTAAAATACAGTGTGAATGCAAAAGAAGGAAATAAAGAAAAAAAGCTTGCATTGAAATTAAAATTGTCCAAAGTAACATGTTATGTATGGCTTTAGCGACTCGAAACGGACGGACGTTCAGTAGGTTAGGGTTCGTACAGAGTCTTGAATTATTGTTTGCCCAGCAATTTTCCAGACCTGGAAAAAGACTGGAAAATGGAGATGAAGTCTGGACAAATAATTTGTTTGCAGCGCACCTATAAAAAGCTTTGTTTCTTCCTTTTTAAGGTCTCTATTGATCACCTATTTGATAACCTTGAGTTTGAAAAAAGAAATAATTGTTTTGGAAAAAAGTCTGGAAAACGTCTTGGATTTTGGATCCAAAAATCTGTACGAATCCTGTTAGATACACTGCTTGAAGTCCACCTGTCTCTTTAAATTCCGTCGAATTCTTATCCCAGCCTGGACGTTTTTCAAATTCAACACTTTCCATTACTTTTTGTTGGCTATACTGCGCAGGACGCTGTTGCCTGATCGTCGCATGGGGTCCACGAACGTAGGGGACAAGTAACAAAGACATGCTATCGGAACCAATCAAAACGCAGTTGTTTTTCGGACCTGTCGAAACTAATCGTCACTAACCCGATTTGATTCGCAAAGGAGTAACGCGAGCCGCAGCTCTTGAATCTGGTATATATCTCTCTAGGCGAACTTAGTCGGTTGTTTTTGAGGCCGTTCGCTTTTGACCATAATTTTCAACGGCAGATAATTTTTGTCGGTGTAATATTTATTTATTTTAGTAATTTGGGTCTATCAGCTTCGAAATATTTCGATCGATTTAGCTCTTGAAGAGCTGGAATGATAGAAGAGACCATTTGTATTGCTTCGCACTTCGCAGACGATTGTGTAAGTCATATGCTCTTCAAATGCGAGGAAATGCTCTTTAGCTGAGGCTTTTTACCGTCAAAATATATCGGTAATCATGATTTGTTACACGAGTGTTTTTACGAGAATATGCTTTTTGTCGTGTTGTCCCTACCGGATTCGAGTACTGGCTCAGTCAGGTTTTTTTTTTCCGGCATTTTTCCCTATTTTTTACTGTTGGTTTTTTCTTTTACTCCCTTTCATGCTACTGCTCTACCTTTTCCTAAGCTTCCGGGGTTCTACGAGACGGATATTTTCGAGTCCAATAGAAATATTTTCCGATTGTCATCGGCTCACGACATTCACTCAGTTCTCAGATTCGCCGTGGTTCAAAGCCAAACCGCGGTTATCTGGATGAGTGGCTTTCATTTGATGATGGGTGTATTCGCATAAATGCTATGAAACTTTACCATGATGTCTGAACAGTTAAATTTATGCTTTAACATGTCAATTGTGGTAGCTGAGTTTTCAAGTCTGTAGTTGTGTTACACATAACTCTAGGGTTCTCAATTCTCTGTTCAAGATTTCATTTTCCCTGCTATGTTTTACAAGAATAATGCAACAGTGATATGCAGCCGCGGTACTATAGTGCCAAAGGGATTTTTTTGTTATACCTCTATTTTTTTTTTTCGCAGACCGCGCGAAAAGGTTTAAATTCCTTTTTTGTTTTTTTGTTTTTTTTTCTGAACGTCTATATTTCTTTCCGCGGTGTTTTTCAAAAACCTTAATTTCAAAACCTTTGAACATGTCAATCGCACATCAAGAATCGACAATGAGTTCATGTTAAATCATGAAAGGCTCCGTATTAAACGAAAGCTGACAAGAGAACGAATACACAAACTGAGCAGTTTGGTGGTAGGCACACATTGGGAATTTGGGTCTCAAATTTGCCTGAAGTTTATTTCAACTTTCAAGCTTAAAATTAACTATTAAAATCGATCTAATGCAATTACCCATTCAAAGATGTTTCTCGCCTATCGTTTTAACACTCGATACCGCGTATTGAAGTGAATTTTAGTTTATTATAAATTTGCAAAATTAAAAACTGCATGTAACCCAAGGAAAAAACAATAGGCGAAAAGATTATAATAAATGAAAGAGAAGCAGCGTCTTAATCAAAATTCGCCGATTTGCAAGTTGCAATAAAAGAGGAATAGTTGGCGCTTTTCTGAGAGATCCGCCTAAGGAAGAGACTTCTCACGACTGCTGATCTTGGAACTCTACTGTATCAGGTATGAAATAAATTCATTAACTACCTACGTCTTCCGGTTAAATAACAGGTAAAACTATTTCAAGGTGGTATCATCAGGAGAAGCCTCCGAAGTTTTACACGTCGGTAAGCTAGTCAAAAAAGTTTTTAGGGGCACTAGCTGATGTAGAACATGGTTCCTGATTAGCAACTGAAGAGAACCACTCCATGATCATAGGTTTGTGAATTGTTTATTTTTTTTTCTCGAACCAAACAGTATATATATCTCCAAAACTTCGCCAGACGCTTTCAAGTGTCAGTCCACTTCCTTCCTATGCCCCTTTCGTAAAATTTTTCATATAGCTACCTGCTATTATGATATCAGTAAATATAAACACTTCCGTTGGATTTCCAAGTAGTAAGAGATCTTTGCAATAATGCCCCTTTAGCTGTCACGTGCTCACGGACAAAAGTCGAAGACAATCTTAAGTTGTCGACACGTAGATTATATAATTTAGAAATTCAATAAATTGGCTACAGGTGTACCTAAAAAGAATTTAATTTACACTACTAACAGTGATTGGTGGAATTGCAAATATCATGCTGCAAAGACCGTCATGTTCATTCATAGTCGGATTTTTTCTTTGATCTTCAAGACACTGTTTTAACATATGTAAGTGATATCAACTCCTCGGATTTCTAGGAGGCGCCGCAATTGTGATTTAAATCCTTACTTTCAAAGTTTTTTTACAACTTTGAAAGTAAAATAGTAATTAAAATTACTATTTTTGCCATTACCTGTCACGTATACTAACTGAAAAAGACAATCGGCGGCATAATGAGTTGAGACACTTCGCCCTAAATGGACTTTAAAAGGGGAAAAGATAGCGTTTAAAAGGGGAAAAGATAGCGTTTCCTCCCCCATCCCCTCCATGCAATGTTGCGCCACTGTTCGAGCTACCTTTGGAAAACAAGAAACGTCCCAACTTTGAATGGAGGGGACAGGGGAGGGGTGCGGATTCTTATGTTTCTGAAGTTACCCTATTTGAGTATAACGTCTCAACAATTTTGTCGCCGATTGTAGGTTTAAATATTCAGGTTTTCTGAAGCAAGAAATAGTTTGAAGACCAGTTTGTAGATTGTCAAGAAGTACAAAATATAGGTATGTACAAAATACTTTTATCATTTACAATAATTATTGCCTAAAGATTTTTCAGTCTACTTTGTTTGATTTAAATGACATCGAAGTGTCGCAAACAGGACTAAAATGTTCTGAAACAGGAAATCAACTGAATCAAAAAGCTTTTCGATCTCAGCGAGAACTTACCCTCAATGTAACGAATTTTGTTCCAAATAAGCAAACACGCAATCAAAAATTACCCAAGTCAAAAAACTGCTGAAAAAAAAAAGTACTAAAAATACTAAATTTTAACTGCAAGACGGGATTAGTGCATAGGAACATATGGACACGACTCTTCAAATTTAATCCTTCGTAATAAAAAAGGACCCCGCCAGATGATTTGTAACCGTGGTAAGTTTCAAGGTTTTTAAGGTTTTAAGCATGAAGGAACTACGATACTGTGCATGAAAGCCAAAATTAAAGCAGATCTCAACACCAGTGTCCATCCTGAAATCTTCACGCATCCCAGACAAGAGAAAACATTGCGTTGCTCTTAAAAAATGTGTTTTACTTTCCGGAGATCGTTTATCGGATTTTTCGGTCTCTAGATGTCTGTGCTACACCGGCTGTTACCGATTTTTATGAGAGAGTAGAAAAAAGGCCGATTAGGCCGATTTTTCGGGTGAAAATCCTCCTCTACCATGGAGCAGCTTGAGCCTCAAAGCCGCCGAAGTGTACATCGATGTACAGCCATAGTCCGCAGTACAATGAAGGTTAAGACGTATCGCAAAACCACCTGCCCAAAGCGCTTCAAGACGACATTGGAACTGTAGTTAATTATGTATTTCCTTTCATTTCATTTCTCCAAAATAAGCGCAGATAAAGTGAATTTGTTTCGAAATAATATTGGTCCCAGATGAATCTTATAAATCGTTTCTTTACACAATATTCTTAAATAAGTGCTTACAGTGCGTTTGGGACGCCTTTGGCAAAAGCATTAGATCAGGTATTCCTTCCAAGAATCTCGCCTTCTTTCCGTTGGCTTTCGATTTTCCGGCTCTTCTATGCATGTACAAAATAACACGTTATTCACCCTAATGTACTCTCAAGAGT